CTGGTGGTTGGCTGTGGATCTCTGCATCTGCCTCCATCAGTCACTGGAGAAAAGTTCTGTGATGACAGGGTATTCACCGATCTGATCACCGGGGCAAGCCAGTTCATTTCAGGTACCCTCTCCACTATTTCTAGTAAGCCAAGCTGGGGTCATCCTTGGGGAATCCTAGCAACTTCCCTAGCACTGGGTTTCACTCTATCCCCATGATATCTCCCTCTATCATGCTATCTCTCTCATTACTTTCCCACTCCACTGTTGTTCCAGCTCGACCATCCCATTCCTTTATGTTCTCATCCCCTATCCCCTACCCTCCATTGATCATCCCTTACCCCCAGTTCACTCATGGATATCTCATCTGTTTCCCCTTCCCAGGGTGATCCGTACATGTAACTAGAGTTTTCCTGCCTTGCCCACAGTCAGGACAAATCTCTGTCACCCACCAGTCCCACGGCTGCTCAGACTCAACCAAGTAAACACAGAGACTTATATTACTTGTAAACTGTATGGCCGTGGCAGGCTTCTTGCCAGCTGTTCTTATGTCTTAAATTAACCCATTTCTATTTATCTATAAGTTGCCACATGGCTCGTGGCTTACTGGTACCTTACATCTCACTTTTTATGGTGGTGGCTGGCAGTGTCTCTCTGCCTCCGCTTCCACTTCCCAGAATTCTCCTCTCTTCTTGTCCCGCCTATACTTCCTGCCTGGCTACTGGCCAATCAGTGTTTTATTTATTAACCAATCAGAGCAATACATTTAACATATAGAACATCCCACAGCACATGCATCCCTCTTTGGGCCTTCCTTGTTACCTAGCTTCTCTGGAGCTGTGGATTGTTGTCTGGTTATCCTTTGCTTTACTTCTAGTAATCACTTATGAATGGTACATACCATGTTTGTCCTTCTGAATCTAGGTTACCTCACTCAGGATATTATCTAGTTCCATCTATTTGCCTGTAAATTTCATGATGTCATTATTTCTCTCTGTTGAGTAGTACTCCATTGTGTATATGTACCACATTTTCTTTTTTTACTTTAAACTTGTATGTTTTTTTTTTTTTTTTTTTTTTTTTTTGGTGTACAATAGTTCTCTTTTTTTTTAAGCGCCATTATTATTATTATTTTACAACACCATTCAGTTCAACATAATAGCCACAGAATCCCCTGTTCTCCCCCTCTCGC